AAAAAAAAAAAAAAAAAAAGGGCTGGAGAAATGGCTCAGAGGTTAAGAGCACTGGCTGCTCTTCCAGAGGTCCTGAGTTCAATTCCCAGCAACCACATGGTGGCTCATAGCTATCTGTAATGAGATCTGGCGCCCTCTTCTGGCCTGAAGGGATATATGCAAGCAGAAGCAGAACACTGTATACATAATAAATAAGTAAATCTTTAAAAAAAAAAAAAAAGTATGAAGGCTGAGCTCTCAAGACAAAAACAACAAATTAACACAACACACATCAAACTGGCTCTTACTTTGTATGACCTTCAAACTGCCTGAGGGGCGCCCTCCCACTTATATCAAAAAGTTGAACTACACCATCTTCACTGCCAGCGACAAGCAACTGGCCATCCTGTCGAAAAGTAGCACAGTATGCTGTGTCCTTAAAACGGGAAAAGGTTTTTATAGGTTCTTGAGAGTACCGGCCATAAATGTGGATCTGTAAGATAAAAAGCAGTATTTCACTAGAAGGCAGGCCCAAGCTCCGCAGTACATCCTATCACAAGAACAAAGACGATCACTACTGCACTTACTCTTGAAGAGGCTGTGACTGCGTAGTTATATGGAGGCTGAGGAGAAAAGTCTACTTTGGACACCGCACCAAATTCCTTAATCTGCACAGGAGTCTTCATGAAAAACAAGAGAGTATTGGCAGAGTTAAAAGGGCGAGCCATAGTTAAGCATTATGCTATTTCCTACGGACTGTTTCCTTTTGTCCCTAGTTAGTAGGTTGTATTACAGAGAAATACGAGGAAAAGAGAAAGGAAAGGGTGAAGCAGAAACCACTCTGCTGCCCTTTGACACGCCAGAAAATAAGGACAGCTGGAGAGCCACATCCCACTGTCTCAGAGGCTGACTTTATTCTGATTCCCACCAAGAAAAGAGCTAAGTCTCTATCAATCAACTATGATTCTAAGTTAACACAAAGATGACCAGACCACGTAAACAGATCTGAATCTTTTCTGCGCCTACTAACCCACTTTAGCAATCTTTGTACATAAGCAATAAATTTACCATCCATTTTTATAGAGATACATCATAATTTACGGAGCCAATCTACGTCTAATGAACATATTTTTTAAGAATTCCAATATTACAGTGGATACATCAATAAACACTTTTACATGTCTTAGTAAACTTTTCAAAGTAGGCCATGTTTCAAGCTATGAGTACAGAGCAACAATGTTTTTATAAAGTTATGACATTTACTGTCAATTCCCTCTCTCAATTTTCTTTTCATTTATGCCAATATAACAGAATAAACAGTATCTAAACTGTTATTTTATTTGGTTTTATGTTGTGCTTTTTTTAGCCTTATCTATTTGTATTTATGTGTATGTGTGTATCTGCTTGTCTAAACATGCACATGTGAAATGCCTGCTGAGGCTAGAAAAAGATGTTAGATCCCCTGGAAATGGAGTTAAAGGCAACTATAAGCTGCCCAATGTGCTGGGAACTGAACTCAGGTCCTCTGCAAGAGCACCAAGTGCTCTTGATTTCCTGTAGCTGAGACTACCCTCAACCTCCCTGAGTAACTAAGAATGACTCTGAACCTATCCTCTGGCCTCCAGCTCTCAAGTGCTGGGATTACAGGCATGTACCACCGAATAGGTTTGTGCAAGGCTGGAGACTGAACCCAGGGCTTATGCATGCCAGGCAAGCACTCTACCAACTGAGCTACATCCGTTTTTGGCTTGTGAGTGAGGCTCAGTCTCTTTCTATTTTTATTATCTGATTATATTTCATTTTCCACAAATCTCCTAATTCCAAACATTTTCTAGTTTTCTAGGTTCTCAATTAAAAACAAACAAATAAACAAACAAAAAACATTTCAAGCCTTATTAGAAGGTACAGAGAAGCTAATTTCAGAATAAGAAAAAGCAAATAAGTCTTCCTGCATATAAGATTCAAGTTTTACAGTTTCATTTGCCATTACACACATGTTCTACATTAAGCATCTGCATGGCTAAAATAATTAAGTGGTATGGATTTTTACATGAAGCTTTAAGAAAAAATAGGTAACAAAGTATCCACTTGAACTATTAGTTTGAGTTAACGGTTCTGCCAGCATAAGCTGGAGAAACTGACATAAATGGATACAGAAATGTCCAAATTCCCTCCTCCCGCATTTCCTCTCCTTCTTTACCTTATAATTGTTCCAGTACAAAGTGTCTTGGGTGATTTTTTCACCGAGTACAGGATATGTCTGAATTGCTACAGGTTTATAACCAGCCATGATTTCATATGACTACACTGTTGTCCAGGGGTCAATAATCTGGAACTGATGTCAGGATAACTGCAGTGACTCTGCCTTATGTCTGAAAAAGGAACACATTTTAAAGCACATATTATTTATTAACGTTCACATACAAGTATAATTCTCCTTCCACATTATTTCAAAGACTGTATGGAAATTCATATATTAATGACCAATAAACCATTTCATTAGAACCCTAGAAGAGAGAGACACTTGAAGAATATAGATCAAGGGTACCACACTGCACCATCTGTACATACTGGCTGTATATGCATGTTCTCCTCAAACTCCAAGAGCAGTCTGCAACACTTGAGAATAAATATGACTCGACATTCCAAGAGGCAAACCAGAAAAGCATGCAAGCCTACAATATTCATTTTCTTGACAATATTCGCTTTCTTCTATATTTCTAATATAGAATACTAATATAGAATTAGAAATATAAAATTATCTCTACAGACTTGACTTCCTAAAGAAAAAGATACCAAGAAGAAAGTAAAACAAAGCTAATGTTTTAGTGTAGAAGCCTACAATGAAATTAGAGATAATGTGCTGACATAAGGCATACAATTAAATGTTAAAAGGTTTAAACTGTAGGATAGAAAACTGAAATAGAGCAAACTTAAAGTGGGAGAATAGGATTTTTAAAAAAATGAATTAAAGCTCTTAACATGCAATGAAACCAAAACATCTCCCGAGAAGCAGTCAACTGAAGACAGTCAAGTTTATCAGGTGAATGGTACCAATGATGCTACTCTACATCCATTCTGAAAAGCCTGCTAGCGAGCCTGACTAGCAAGTCTGGGGGATCCTCCTGTCTCTGGCTCCCAGCACTGGGATGATAGAAACACTCCAAGCCCTCCTTTTCCCGTGGGTGCTCAGGATTGACCCCACTACATCCACTAAGACATCTCGCCAGCCCTTAATCTCTCAACTATTTCTAAACCTCAAGTCCACTTAAGCCTAGTTCAATTGCACTAACTTGTGTCTTTTTGACTACTGAAATAAAAGCAACACCATTTGAAAGTCTCCTGGATGCCCACATCCATCTTCCAAATAGTTACCAGTGCACTGCAAAACTGAACATCGCCCAGAAAATGAAGCTCTAGCTCCATAGCATGTAAGGGGCTCCCTTTGCTCTGGCCCTTTTAGTGTGACCTCTTACTATTACCAACTGTTTACAGTTCACTAAACTCAGCACATTCATTCATTCTTGCTTCAACATGTGCTCTCCACCAGGAATGCCCTTTCTCTATCTACTAAGGTCACCAAAGGAAATCAGACTGTCCTTCAGAAATTCCTCCTGCCTTCTGAGACTGGGTGCTCTCTCCCATGATCCTATTTGGCTCTATTTCTGTGAGTGCACATAATCACACTGCATTGTAATGACCTCTTTTTCCAGTTAAATTGAACAATATATTGGAAGTATTTGCTTGGGAAAATGATCAAACAATGGTCTTTTAAAAAGGGGGGGGCATCATGCAAATTCCTATTGGAAAATATATAGTCAAAATCAATAGCGGTCGATAATAAGAACAATGCATGTGTTCAAAGATACTTTCTATCAAGGGCCAACCAACAGGCAAAATAGGGGATATTCTATGGTTAATGGCATAACAAGAAAAATTCACAATTTTTACAGATTTCCCCAATAATCACAGAAACAATCTTTGTTGTTGTTTGTGAAAGAGAGAAGAATTCTTTGAGGTCAAGGGCTGCTTCACTTGATTCCAACCAAATCACTGTACATACGACAGAATGTTTATCTGTTTAAAAAAAAATTCTTAGTGCACTAGATACACAAAAACAAGCACCGGAACAGATCCAAGGAAGAGTACCTTCTAAGTCTATTTTTCAAGAAATAAAAGCATTTGGAGGAAAGAAGTGAAAAGTAGCAGTGACTTGCTAGTTTAAAAAGATGAACAGCATTAGTGGGACGTGTGAAGGAAGACAGTGCAAACAGCGAGATGCTGTGAAAACGAATGGGAGAAAACTGGACCAAAGTCAGGGCCTAAGAAACTGAGGTTCACTGAACAACAGGTATTATTACTACAATACAATGTGTGATCAAATAAACTCTGTAATCAGAGTACTGAGAACATGGACGAGGAAGATATTTAATACTACCTGGAAAGAGTATGCCATTTCAGCGGGGTCTATAAAGCATAACATTACATGATGGACATAAAAGGAGTAGGGCATAGCGCCGAGGGAGACGAATACCCGGCCATTCTTAAGTCACTAAGACAGAAGTCTGTCCTTGGCTTTGGAGAAGAGCAGGTTATTCCAGAGACTGACAGCGGTGGCTAGGAGAGCGACTACGGAGGAGCAAAGCCTGGGTCGAAATTAAATCGCAAGGATCCTCGGAGGCAGGTAAGGTTAGTGATCTGGAGCCTTGGGAAGCCCAGCGCAGCATGTCCAGCTTGTCAAGAGATCACAGTGAGGCCTGAGCAGAGCCTGGGCCGCCACCATCGCCTACCTCTGCGGGGGCCCCCAGGGTCCGCCGAGGCACCCCGATCCCCAGGACGACTCCCCAGACTTGGCCAGCTCCCTGCAGCAGATGTCTCCGAAGCACTTGCTCAAACTCACGCGGACACGCCAGGAGCCGGAAACGCAAGGGCGCAGGGGCGCGTCGCGGGGAGATGACGTCACGGCGCATGTGCAGAAGCCGTGCGCCGCCGAGAACTACGAGGAAGGGCCCCGGTAGGTGGAGCAGCCGGGGAGGGGCCGTGGGCTTTTCTCGGGTGACCCGCAACTGAGGTGACCCTTAGTTCTCTGCGAGCATGGGCTACGGAGCTCCGGAGAAACGAAGAAATTTCTCGAAGTCGTCTCGTCTTCGCTGAACGCTCTGGGCTTGTTCCAGAAGAGGGAAAAAAAAAAAAAATAGGAAGTGACGTCTCGGCCCGAAGCAGGCCGGGCTTGAGGACCTCCACCGATCCGCTGCTGGCCCTGGCCGGGCTGGAGCCGCCCCTGCGGTCTCGGGTGGGTCGTGCCACCCGCCGGACGGTCCCCGGTCCCGGGATCCGCTCGCCGCTCGAGTGAGTGGAGCCTGCGGCGGCAGAGCGGGAAGGCCCGCCGGGACACCTGTCGCTTGTGAGACGTCTTGCAGTTTTGTGTTGTTTTTTTAATAGCACCTTTCTCCTCTCGTAGGACAATTTCAAGAGTCAGGAAGAACGATTAGCTTCCCCTGGGTGGGTGCCCGCTGCCGGCATTTAGACTCTCTAACCTTCCCTGAGCTCTGGCAGGTGAGCCGACCTTTATGTTAACGCTCTCGTCGCTGTCCGCTTTCCCCTCTCCTGCACTTCACGTTTTGGCATATCAGCAGTCTTCCCTTCTCCCTAGAGTGGAGTCTAGCCAAGCGTCTCCCCCTACATTTGCTGTTCTTTCTTCACAGAGTGGTAATTCCGTATATCAAAACCTTGACATGTTCTGTAGGGGCTGCAAAGAACATTGGAGATGACTATTTTTACACCATTTTATAAAAGGATTGAGTCTTGGGAAATTTATACAGTGTGTGTGTCCAGCGCATCTAATTAGCAGGTGTTGAGAATAGAGAACCAGATCCAATTAGAAAACGTGAGAAAGAAAATGTAAAAAAAAATTGTTCCAATTAAGATCAGAAAATAGCTATGGGGCACCAGGTAGGTTTTGTGTGAGGTGACAACTAAAAGAGTGGTCTTGGCCAGGTGTGGTTGTGCGCGCCTTTAATCCCAGCACTCCTGAGGCAGAGGCACGTAGGTATAACACAGTGCGCTCTAGACCAGCCGCCTGTACTTAGCGAGCTCGAATACAAAGTGAGACCTTGTCTCAAAAATTTAAAAAATTTTTAAAAAAAGTGGTCTCCCTCTGCCAGTTTTTCCCCTTAGTGGGAGCTGAAAGGAAGCGGTCAAGAGAATAGCAAGCGTTAAAAGAGACACTTGACATCCCCTCAGAGAGCTGGGAGGGGGAAGGGGAGTAGCTCTCACCTGGCCCCATGCCTAGACAAAATGGTTCTTCGTGCTGTGTCTTTTTAAAGACCCAGTCTTTTCTCCACTCCTCCGTCTCTCATTGAGTCACTGAACTAACTTTTTGTTCCTGTTGTCTTCTGACAAAATGTAACGACTTCGTTATGCGATACTTTTTCCGGACTATCGTGTGTCTGCCTCTCTCCCCTGGAAGTTTGGAATTCTGTTGCCGCTTATTTAATGGCCACAGTGTTGGAGTTGATAGAGCAGGGGATTTTTTTTTTCTTTCTCTTTTTCTTTTTCTTTTTCTTTTTTTTTTTTTTTTGAGATAGGGTCTCTTGATTATATAGCTCTGATTGTCCTAGAACTTTCTATGTAGACCAGGCTGGCATCAAACTCACAGAAATCCACCTGTTGCTGACTGAGATTAAAGGTGTGTGCCACCACACCTGGCTCTTATAATGTTGCTTATATGTATATTTTCAGGACTATTTGGTATTACATAACTAGTTGGTATGCTCATCTCTGGGGAAGACTGTTTCTTCTGCTCTCTAGTGCTCCACCATGCCCAACAGGATCAATTTTTTGAAATTATTTTAAAACTCTGAACAGAGGTCATATGGCACCAATTCATTTTTCTCTTACTTCCAAGTGATCATTGCTCACCCGGTACCCTTTCAAAATGTCCAACGTGCAATATGCTGTCACATGACAAAAATTAACTGGATGTTCATTTCTTCCTGTTTCAAGGAACTACATATTTGGGACTATCATATATCCTGTGATACCAATACATAATCTACATATTTTATTTTTTATTAAATTACATCAAATTGTTTATGCTTACTCCGAGTAAAAGCTGACAAATATACTTTTGATTCTTCAAAAATAAATTTTGTAGATCCAGAGAGATGCCTCAGTGAGTAAAGGCACTTGCTGCCAAGCCTGATGACTTGAGTTCAGTCCCTGAGACACATATGATGGAAGGGAGAACCAACTCTTAAAATTTGTCCTCTGACTTCTACATGCTTGCTGTGGTCCATGTGTTCCCACACACGTGCAAACAAAATAGATAAGTGTAATAACTAATTTTTAAAGTAAATTTTGTGAAGTGCTTTGCTGAATCATGGGTATTACTGAAAGCAGTGCTAATCAACTTGGCTACAAATTGGTTATATCTCAGTTCAAACCGAGAGCCACTTACAAGGAACAGCATTTTTTAAAAATGAATCTCAAATACTAGCTTATTGTTTTAACATGAGCCTGATCTTTAAGCAGTAGTCAGATATAGGAAATGTGTTGGAACGTAGTGATGGAGGCGTACTGTATTTCCTTTGTCCTTTGCCAAGATCCTGTAAATTAATGACGAGATCTCTTTTTACAGACAAGACTTTCTCAGGTTCACTCATACACATCACACAGCTAGTGAATGGCAAAGCTTGAGTTTATAGGCAGATTATACCTCTGAATACTGTGTACTTTCTGTTATAGAGGTTTAAAAGAGCACTGTTTGGTTGTGTGGTTGAAAGTGATTGCGTGTATACATTTACATAAGTTAATATGCTACTTCAAATTTTCTAAATTTGTTCTTTCAGATACTTTAATAACCCAATTCCAAGAATACACTGGAAAACACCCTTGAAAAGCCAAGAGGAAGCCATGAAGAAATGTTTTAATTATTAAAACCATGGCTACGTCGGCAAACCTGGACATTGGGGCCCAGCTGATCGTGGAAGAGTGTCCCAGCAGTTATAGTCTCCCTGGCATGCCAGACATCAAAATAGAGCACCAGCTGGACCCCAATGCAGAAGAAGCGTCAGCTCAGGGTGTTGGCATGGGAATGAAATTCATATTGCCAAACCGATTTGATATGAACGTATGTTCTCGATTTGTGAAGTCCTTAAATGAAGAGGATAGTAAAAATATTCAAGATCAAGTTAACTCTGACCTGGAGGTGGCGTCTGTCTTATTTAAAGGTTGAAAGTTATGGTACAACTCCCTACATTCACTTTCATTTGTCTGATTTTGTTCTGTTTTTCTCTGTCATGAGATCAGAGTTGAGGAAAAGCTTGAAAGTCATCTTTTAGAAAGATTTTCTAGAATCTCAAAGAAACCAACATTAAATTTCTGTTAATTTTAAAAAATATTTCTTGTCTAAGCCAGTATAGTGATGCATGCCTTTAGTTAGTCTCAACACTTGAGAGGCCGAGGCAGGAGAATTCAGAGCCAGCCTAGTCTGCATAGTGAGTTCCAGACCATCCAAAGGTACATAGTGAGACCCTGTCTTAATAAATAAATAGAATATTTGCCTCGTCTTTATTACAATTTTGCTAATTTGGTTATTCTTAGTTGTATCTGTCTGTCTGTCTGTCTATTTATCTGTCTGTCTATTTATTGGTTTTTTGAGGCAGGGTTTCTCTGTGTATCTCTGGCTGCCGTAGAACTAGCTCTATAAATCATGCTGGCCTGGAACTCACAGAGATCCACCTGCCTCTGCCTCCTGAGTGCTAGGATTAAAGGCATGCGCCACCACCGCCCAGCCTAGTTGTATCTTTTTAAATAATAGAAAAATATTTCTTTTCTTTTACAAAATTATTTTAATATCTCCTGTTTTGTGACTAATTTATATCTACTTCTACTACTTTAATTCAGTGATCTGTCAACATGCTTTAAAGTTACTTTGTAATCTGTTAATATTAAAACTAGTCTCAATAAAATTTTTCAACACTAATAATTTTCTTTGTAGAACTTACACTGTAGTAGTACAGACTATACAAAATTGGTATCACCTGATAAACACTTTAATTGAAGCTGTTAAACATCATACATTGCTTCATGTGAACATTAACACTTTTATTTAGAAAGCTTTGTCATTAAAATACTATTTTAATTTGTTTTATTTAGCTGAGTGCAATATCCATACATCTCCTTCTCCTGGAATTCAAGTAAGGCATGTCTACACCCCCTCTACAACAAAACATTTCTCACCCATAAAACAGTCAACTACCCTCACCAACAAGCACAGGGGAAATGAAGTCTCTACCACACCTCTGTTAGCAAATTGTAAGTATGCGCTAAGAATGGACTGAAATATTACTGCTGGTGTAATTAGCTAATGCAATTACAAATTAGGAGTTTGGCTTTGAAATATTAGTTTCACTAAATAAACATTCCAGTTTTGAAAGCTTAAATGATATGTTAATCACTTTAGTAAGTTGAAACTTTTTCATGTGTTTTTATGTTTGACTGTTTCCTATTATACCTCTATGAGGACAAATACAGTTTAAAATATTATTAAAACCAGTATTGTTTTACCATAAAGAAGTGAGTTACTGTGAATTATTTACAAGTTAAGATATCAATGTTTGTGTGTTCTTAGAGTTTCATGTTTAACTTATATATGAACATAATTATTGTAAATATGTACTTACATTATTTCACTGATCAAGAAATATTTTGTACTTAGAAACTAAGTAATTTCTACTGAAATGTTTCATTAGTATATAAATATGAAATCACCCTTTAAAGAACTTTGACTGTAAAGTCATTATATAGGATATAAAGTTTCTCTGCCTAAGCTAACAAGTGTTCAATGAAGCGTGAGTATTTGAATGAGAGGAAACCAGCTAACGGTTAGATGATAGTAACGGCATTTGACACTGTAGTGGGAACGTGTCTGCATTCCAAAGCCTGGTGAAATCTGAAATCCCTCCGACTTCAGAATTGCGGACTGCAGCACTTATGCCGGGAGACTCTTCTCTAGCATCCCAATCCCACCTGTGGGCCAGTTCTAGCTTACTTAGATGCCTGTGCTTCACAGCTGCTTGTATGGATTAAGACTTCCCAATCATACCTCTGAAGGCAGTATTATTTAAAGGTGCTTCTCAAAGAGATTGTCTTACAATATTCCAACCATAGAACTTCTCTGCTGAAAAAAAATAAATAAATAAAGAGCTAAAGACTGTCCCCCATGTTATGAATAAAAATGCTTAATCAGCTAGCCAGTTAACAGGCTGATTAGCCTCAACACGTCAGAATCAGGAATCACAGAACTCAGGAGAATGAGGGAGGACAATGAGGAGGACAATAATGAGACTGTCTTTAAAATTAAACGTACCCCCTCCCCCAATACATTAACACACACACACACACACACACACACACACACACACACACACACACACACACACACACGAATCTTGCAAGGCCAGTTTTCAATTTATGAACTCATTTCTAATGTTAAGAAACCCATCCAACCTCAAAAATATGTAGGGGGCTGGAGAGATGGCTCAGCAGTTAAGAGCACTGGCTGCTCTTCCAGAGGTCATGGGGTTGAATTCCCAGCACTTACTCGGCTGTCAACCTGTAGCTCCAAATAGAGGGGATCTGAGGCCCTCTTTGGCCTATATGGGCCCTGCAGGCATAATACCCAGTTGCATAAATTTAAAAATACGTGTACTTAGAGTTTAAAGGGCTGGGGAGTAGTGGTATACCCCTGTGGTTTCAGCCACTCAGAAGGTTAAGGTGGGAGGGTTGCTTGAGCCTACATGCTCAGCATTGGGCTGGGCAACATGGCGAGACCCTCTCTCAGGAAAAACAAGTTAGTTCTTCAGTGGAACCACTAAGAAAACTAAAAGGAATGTGTCTTTTGGGGCCTCCTTCATAAGTTTGGATATGGAAGTAGCATGTTAAAAATTAAGTACCTTACTCACTCTTTAGGATAAATTTTGCCCCCAAATAGTAATTTGCAGATGTCATATCATATGAGTCAGTTCTCAGAGAACACTACCTGTAATACTGGGGTACTTTGTTAGGTTTAAATGATAAGGTTGGTTTTGTTTTGGAAAAGACACCGGCTTTACCATGGGACAATAGCTGTGTATCCACAAGGTGCACGTGAATAATTTTATCATTGTATTGTTTCAGCCTTGTCTGTTCACCAGTTGGCAGCTCAGGGAGAAATGCTCTACCTGGCTACTCGTATTGAACAAGGTAATAGCCTAGTTTGAAGTATTATATTTTAAATATTCATTTGAATTTATTAGATTTGTTACTGTTTTATTTTTGTTTAGGAAACTAAAAAGACAAAAGAAGTCATATAATCTCACCAAACACATAACCCAATGGATAGCAAAAAGAAAATGTTTAAGTAATATAAACTATAAAATTTGAGGCCTTAGGATAGCTCTGAGATTAAGAGCACTAGCTCTTCTTCCAAAGGACCAAGTTTAGTTCCTGCCATCCATATGTCAGCTCATGACCATCTGTAACTCTAGGGGATTTGATGCCCTCTTTCTAGCCTCCAAGAGCACCAGGTACACATGTTGTATGTGTATATACACACAAGGCACAACACCCATACAAATAAAATCATTTGATTTAAAGTTTTAGCTTCCTTTACTTTTCCCCAAAACAAACATTGTAAGGGTGTTTTAAATTATTTATTTATTTTTATTTCATGTGCATTCATGTTTTGCCTGCATGTATGTCTGTGTGAAGTTGTCAGATCCCCTGAAACTGGAGTTACAGGCACTTATACGCTGCCATGTGGGGGTGCTGGGAATTGAACCCGGATCCTCTGGAAGAGCAGCCAGTGCTCTTAGCCACTGAACCATCTCTCCAGCCCCCGCATTGTAAGTTTTTTTTGTGTTTTCAGGAAATTTTTCTAGAAAACATTTCCATTTATGGTTATATTTGAGAATATGCATGTGCTTTTGTTAGGTACACAAGCAAGAAAATGTTACATACACTGCAGTGTGTCTGTTTTCATTTAATATTTTGGAGAGTATTCTAAAGCATACCAAATTTTTTTTTTAATGAGTGTGCATGTTTTGCCTGTATGTGTGTGTGTACCATTTGCATGCCTGGTGCCTGTGAGGTTAAAAGAGGATCCTCAGGAACTGGAGTTAGAATGGTTCGAGCCACCATGTGGATGCTGGGAACCTGGGTCCTCTGCAAGAACAGTGAAGTACTCTTAGCCACTGAGCCATTTCTCCAGCCCCAAGATCTTTTTTATTGAGAGAGAGTCTCACTATGTTGCTCAAACTCACAGTCCTGTCTCCTCTGACAGCACCTTCTGGGTGCTGGATCACAGACATGCACCTCTACGCCCAGCCGTTGTATACTTTGTCACTGTAGTGCGCATGTCTATGCCGTGATTTCTGTTTGTGCTCCCAACTGCTCATCTGGTGGGTTACAGATGTGTGCTGGCGGTCTCTGCATTCTTTCTCTCCACTGAGTACGTTTTCATATGTCGGTGTGCCAGGTCGCAAACAGATGACCTTTGCCGTGGGGAGGGTTGAGTCGGCTCTTCACACTGTGCCAGGCCAGTGCTCTACCACAGAGCACTCCTGGGCCTCTGCCTTCTTGTTTGTCCTCACGTTAGCGTTAGAGTTGCAGTTTCCCCAAACTGTCGTGGGCGCAGTGGGACTTTATTCTTACTAATCTGTGGGGGAAAGTGGTACCTCACAGAAATTCCATTGCTATGTTTAAGTTACAAGCCCTTTGAGTTTCTTGTCTGAACTGCCTACAGTATATTTGTGTCATAGAAACTCCAAAGTGAAAGAAACCAACTTCTGTTGTTTCATGCAGATAGTTTCCCCAGTTTCTCCGTTTTGGGGTGACCTCTTCAGATTTTTTATTGTAAATTTGTGTCCTTTTTGACTTTGAAGTTTTATGTCCTGCTTAGAAAAGATTCCCCATTCTAGGATTATAAAGAAACCACCCATTGTTATGCTGGAACTTATGTAGTTTTCCTTTTTTATAATCTTTGATGCATATGAAATACTTTTAGTGTAATAAAGAGTAAGAAAACTGTTGCTTTTTTTTATGGTAATGGTGTTTTGCCTTCATGTATGTCTGTGTGAGGGTGTCAGATCCCCTGGAACCGAAGTTATAGACAGTTGTGAGCTGCCATGTAGGTGGTGGGAATTGAACCCGGGTCCTCTGAAAGTACAGCTAGTGTTCTTAACCAGTGAGCCATCTCTCCAGTCCCATCTGTTGCTCTTTTATTTTTTTTTTTTTAAATGTAGGTGTCCCATCATTGTTGATTACAGGGAGCATGATCCAAGAATTTTATTTTCATAAGACTTGGATGTATTTCTGTTTATATTTAAATATTGAGGGCTGGAGTGATGGTTCAGAACCTAAGCACTGGTGCTGCTCTTGTAGAGGATCCAAGTTCGAGTTCCAGCATCCACATTAGCTGGCTTGTGCCCACCTGTAACCCCAGGGGAATCTGAAGCCCCTGGTTTTTACAAACACTGCACTCACATGCACCCAAACCCCACCCAACACATACATAATTAAAAAATAAAAATAAATTTTTTAAAAAGTAGAAATTTCATGTTCAACCTACCTAATAAGTTTAGGGGGAAAGCTGTGCAGTTTATAACTGTTAGGCTACGTTCAGGGACTAAAATGAGGTTCAAGGTAGAATTGTGCGATACTGTTTCAGATTATCCAGTCTGCATATTATGCCAGCAACTTCAGGAATGAAGGAAAATCACAGGCTGCAAGTTAGCTAGAGTGGAAGGCAGCTTTTGTAAGCTGTTGAAGTTTTTTAAGTCTACATTCAAGTATGCTAAGGGCTATTGTGTATCCATTTGTTGTGATCTTCCCAAGTATGTGTTGAGATAAGCAAGCTATTGATCTGTGTTTAGCAGAAATTAAGTCACCTGCCCAGACCCAAACCACTAGAAAATGAAAGGACCAAGATTCTACCTTAAGTCTCTTGTCCCTGAGACCAGTGTTGCCAACCTTGTACCTAACATGATACTGTGTGTGGCAGTTTATACTTTACAGAATGTGTTCCATGAACCCACCCAGCTTTGTGCCGTGAGGCACATTTTAATATGTCCAGACTGAAAACCACAACATCTCATCCAGACTTCAGTAAACAAAAGTCATCTCATTGAACTTCATTGAGTCATAAGTTTTTAGAATACCAGTGCTTTCAAAGTGATATTAATATGTGGTTGTTAAATTAGATCACAAGAAAGTGCTTTTCTTTTAAATAGAAAATGTTATCAATCACACGGATGAAGAAGGATTCACTCCCCTGATGTGGGCTGCGGCACACGGGCAAATAGCTGTGGTAGAGTTCCTACTTCAGAATGTAAGGAAAATGTGTGTGTGTGTGTGTGTGTGTGTGTGTGTGTGTGTAGTGCCTTGAGCTCAGTTAAGTCTTCAGTGCATATTAATATCTGCAGCCAACTAGACATACTTATGGGGGGTACAAAATCAATGACGACCTTTGATGTTCTTGTGGAGCCTGGGTCTAGCTGGGAAAGCAATGGTCATCATACAGGAAACGGGGAGAAGAGCTAGCTGAATGTCCAGCCCCTCTGAGTGGAGCAGGAACAGTAGTGCTGTCCACAGGTCCTGGAGGAGTGCTGTCCACGGGTCCTGGAGGAGTGCTGTCCACAGGGCCTGGAGGAGTGCTGTCCACAGGGCCTAGAGGAGTGCTGTCCACAGGGCCTGGAGGAGTGCTGTCCACAGGGCCTGGAGGAGTGCTGTCCACGGGTCCTGGAGGAGTGCTGTCCACAGGGCCTGGAGGAGTGCTGTCCACAGGTCCTGGAGGGAAGGGCTCCTGGAGGAGTGCTGTCCACTGGGCCTTTGCCAGAGTGAAGGAGAATGAGGATTGAGGCAGCTGGAGGGAGGGGGAAGGTAGGCATCCAGGCCGTTTTGGTAACAAACACATCCATCACATTTGTTATTTCCTCGTTAACCCTAGAACGTGGCCTGACCTCAGTGTTAAACTGTAATCATATTGACAAAGACAAATGTTCTTGTTTAAGTTCATTGAAAGTCCCCTATGTTCCCTTCCATGACAGGGTGCGGATCCCCAGCTTTTAGGAAAAGGTCGAGAAAGTGCCCTGTCGTTGGCCTGTAGTAAAGGCTACACAGATATTGTCAAAATGCTGCTTGACTGTGGAGTTGATGTAAATGAGTATGACTGGGTGAGTCCACAACATTGGCTTTAAAACTGTTGTAACAGTTGTTAGAGTGCTGGCCAGCGCCATGGGCCCTGTGTTCAATCCCCAGTGCCCTGTAAACTGCTTGGTGGTCAGCAACAGCTCCCAGGAGGTCGAGACAGGAGGGTCAAGGTTATCTTTGGCCTCATGAATACTTCAAGGCCACAGGGCTACTTGAAACCCTGCCTCAAAAATTAACTAATTAATTAAATACAATTATTGTAATAATTGTTAGGATTTAATTGATTTCAGGGAGATATAAACTTTATTAAGGACTTGAAAGAAAAATGTACTTACTTAAGATGAACAACTTAATGTCATAAATTCAATTATTTGTGACTTAAATATTTTTCACAAAATATTATTATTAATCATATTATATTAATATTAATATTATTTTAAAAACATGCCCAGTTTCATAGCAGCATTTGATTGACTCTTGCTCAGTGAAAAATGATGATGACCTTTTCCTTCTTCAGAACGGAGGAACACCTTTGCTTTATGCTGTCCATGGGAATCACGTGAAGTGTGTAAAGATGCTGTTAGGTAAGCAGGTGAACATAGTCATTTTTTAGAAGGAGCCCTGTGAGCGTTTAGTTTAAATTTCCCTGTCAAGAGAGCTTATCCATTGTTAGGTTGTATGACCCTGCTGGCGTTCGCCCCTGGGTTTTCGTTACCACAGGGCTGCCCTGAGAGAGGCGGTTCCCTCACACTCCGCCTCTGCACTTGAAGCTTTTGCCCTTCCCACTTGCTCACATCAGAGGTCACCTTTGACTCTACTCTGGTGTTCTCTGGACACAGTGTCTTCATATATAAGTTTTGTCCAACTTTGCACAGCCTTGGTGTAGGGAGGAGGGGACTGGACCTACCTGAACTGAATCTATCAGGCTGGGCTGACTCCCCAGGGGAGACCTTGCCTTGGAGGAAGTGGGAATGGGGAGCAGATTAGGGGGGAAGGCTTGGGGGTGGGAGGAGGAAGGACAGGGGAATCTGTGGCTGATATGTAAAATTAAATTAATTATAAAATAAAAAAAACTCAAAAAAAAATGTTTTGTCCAGTTGTTTATGAGTTTCAACTGCTCTAGAGACGGTTGGGTATCCTCTCCAGCCCACCAAATGAACTCTGAGTATCCCATGTGCTCAGTCTTTGTGTGAGCATGTTCAAAATAGCCTCCAGATTGGCTGACAATCTGTTCAGCCATTTGCATATGAGCCAGGAATAGACAGACATTTGCATTCGCATTTTCTTTATATAGATTTTTCTGTTTTGATACAGAAAATGGAGCCGACCCAACAATTGAAACAGACTCTGGATACAACTCTATGGATTTAGCTGTAGCTTTGGGCTACAGAAGTGGTGAGTGTTTCAGAACTCTCAGGGTTCATTTTAGGAAACCTTCATCTATAGTACATGCTGGAGTCCAAACCTTTTTCATTGTTTCATGTGTAAAACATTGTGTTATCCTAACGCCAGACATATGCTTTAGTGGAGTGCAAAGTAAACAGATTCCTATAAAGTTAAGAAATGAATTCATTTATTGTACTTTTTCGTAAACTCAAATAGTTTCTGGAGGAAAAGTGGGCAGTATTTGCAAGATTTTCAAACTTTTTTTTTTTTTTTTCCGGTTTTTCGAGTCAGGGTTTCTCGGTGTAGCTTTGCGCCTTTCCTGGAACTCACTCTGTAGACCAGGCTGGCCTCGAACTCACAGAGATCCACCTGACTCTGCCTCCCAAGTGCTGGGATTAAAGGCGTGCGCCACCACCACCCGGCTCAAACACGTTTTCATAAAAAATAATTTATATAACAATGTTGTACTTTGGGCTCTTCACTTTGTTGGTTTTGCTTGGTTTCTGTGCTGTGACCTTGGTGGCCTGTCTTTGCAGTTCAGCAGGTCATTGAGTCCCATCTGCTGAAGCTCCTTCAGAACATCAAGGAGTGACGCAGCGCTCAGACAATGCATCTGCCCTTCTCTTCACTCCTCGGTCCTTACAAATGATAGTTTGTTTACATGTAAATTGTTACCTCGGTTGCAATATTTGCTGGTTTTTAGTGAGTTTTAATAATTATTCCTCTGGATAATTCACTGGTTTATAATGAAATTAATCCTGATTTTTTTAAATAAATGTGTTTTACTATATATTTAAAGTTATAAATTAATGTTTTATGGCATGGAAACTTTTATGGTACAGGTGGTTATGTGTCTTTGTATCAAGTACCACAGTTTGACACTTTGAGAAATAAATTCTACCTTGTTTATCTTCATTCCTGTATTAACTCTTTGACTTTGCACAAGGCTCACTGTAAGTGGGGTGGGTGGGGCGGGGGATGTTCTTGTTGAATTCAAAAGTCCACAGTGTGATGGTTTACAAAGTCATGTTTAAATAAAATACTCTTTCTGTCTGTTTGCATTCTGGCTCTTTGATTATATGCTTATCACAGATGTCTCCAAAATTTTCAGTTTATCATTTATGTTCTACAAATTTATCAACAAAGATTTATTGCTGGGCAGCGGTGGCACATGCCTTTAATCCCAGCACTCGGGAGGCAGAGGCAGGCGAATCTCTATGAGTTCGAGGCTAGCCTGGTCTACAGAGTGAAATCCAGGAAAGGCACCAAAATGACACAGAGAAACCCTGTCTCGAAAAAACAAAAAACAAAAAAAACAACAACAACAAAAAGGTCAGTTCTGAGAACTCCTCCTCAGTCTTGGTGACAAATGTCCTTATTTGCTGAGTTGTCTCACCTACCCTGGGCCTGATTGTTTACATCCATACGACAATTTAACTGTACAAATGACCCCAACCAGCAGGAACCAGGGTTCCAAACGGCAAGGTATTGTTGATTGGGAAGACCAGGGATGGGAAACAGAGAAGACAGCTCAATAAGCCAAAAGCAGTGGCTGGGACCAGGAGGTCTTGCACAAGCTGGTGGCTTATATGCCAAGCAAACATCATATATACTGTTTTCTGGGGCGGGGGGGGGGGGGGGGGGGGGGGGGGGCAGGGGTAGCCAAGGTCAGGAGAAAACAAAGTCTGACAATGTTGGCAAAGAACATGGGATAGATACCTCAGACACAGCTGTCTAAGGACTCATAACCACAGCCCAGCGGGAAGAATTGGTTCCCCCGAAACTGCAACCTTGACTCTTGGAGGAGGCACTGTCCCAGCCCTACACTGTCCTTGCCAAGTCCACTCCTGGACAAGGACACGGAACTAAAGTTCCCTTTATCCTTTCATCGGGGCCTCTGAGCACGTCTTTGGTTGCTCTGGCTCCCTGCTTACAAGCCTCACTTTTTTTTTTCAGAAATCCAGAGCTTTCCATGACCTAAGAAATAAGGTCAAAACAATGAGTTTCTGCTCAGCAGTCTTCGGGACAAAGTGCAGGGCTTCTGAACCCTGCATTATTTGTTCCTCTATTCCAGGTTAGGGCCCTAAGCCCAAGGAATTCTTTCCACATTGTGCCACCGTATCAGTTCATCAGCCTAAATCCCTCTTTTCTTTGAGATCTGCACAGTGTGCTAAAAGATCTCTGCCTTCCTTTCTTTTAGCTTTTACATTTATTTATTTGGAAAGATAGGTGCATGTGCTCCCAAGCACGCACATGTACCATGACTCACATTTAAAGGTCGGAGGACAGTTTACAAGAGTCAGCTCTCTCCTTCCACCGTGTGAGTTCCAGGATTGAACTCAGGTTGCCCAGCTCGACCTGCTATGGAGTGTAAAAGCTGTTCAAGGGATGGTGTCCGGGAGTCTATCACTGATATCATCAGTGGTGGGGTCTGGGACACCCTTCTGCAGGCTTTCTACAGGGCTCCATTTAGAGGTTCCGGGCCTCGAACAGAACCTTCAGGTGCACTTCCAGTAAAGGCAGAGCAATAGTGAGCCCGGGACAGGTAGAAGCCTGTGTTGTAGCACTCCGTGGTTATTTCGTGAACAGTCTGCCAGTGTCTCCCCTGAGGGTGAAAACCTATTTCAGATAGCAAGGCTGTTAATGAGTCTTGGAGGCCTTTCCACAAAAATGTGAACTATCTGGAATGTTTACCCTCACAGCATTTCACTAGTGGGAAGGTGAAGCGTCACTTCTAAGCAGTTATTCCTCCCATTTTCTCTACAAGTCAATTAGAATACTGTTCTTTTAATATCAGAGACATACTCAAGTGCATTAATAGGTTTTAGAGTTAGGAAATACATTATACTTCAGTGATAGGTAAAGATGTTTCTCAGTTACAGAGATGCACAGAGAGCCATAGGTTTTAAAAAAAAAACCAAGAACTTGCTCTCTCTCCCTATTTGTTTGTTTGTTTGTTTGTTTGTTTGTTGTTAAGGACGGAACCCAGGACCTTGCACATGCTATTTGCTCAGCCTTTTGAGCATGATTTTTTTTCAAATTGTTTCCATTTATTTTAAATAAAATTGTATTTCATATCACAAACACTTGGCTCCAGCCCTGGGTTACATAAACCAGGCTAATGGTGGAAGAAAGTGAACAGTGTCTTCAGGGAAATGGAATTAGAATCAACAACACAAGAGATGAACAAGAGATGAAGACAGTGATGTTTTGACACAGAGCACGAAAACCCTTTTTTTCTTTCCTCTATTTTTTCTCTAGAGCATGGAATTCTTAACTGACTTGAGGCTAACACATAGACAACAGACCAAAACAGGCAACACAAAACCAAGAGCACTAGTAAGTGGGATTCTCTGTCACCTGCTACTGAGAACAGATCTCTGCTGTACATCCGGCAGGGAGGGATCACCACCAGCCAGACCACCAAGGCTAATCCCCAGGCTGGAGAGAGGGCTTGGGGATTAATAGCTCTTGCTGTACACTCAAAACAATGAGAGTTCAGAGAGCAGCATCCGTGTAACAAGCCCATAACCCCAGCTACAAAGGGGGCTGAGGCTGGAGGGTGGCTGGGGCTTTCTGGCTTCCAGCCTAGCCCAGACAACATGAGCCTAAGGTTCAAGGAGAGACCCTGCTTCAGACAGATAGAAAATGAGAACGCAAACACACAGGCATGGACAATCTTCTCCCATACCACATACATGTGTACATACACTCACACAGATATACACATGCACAAATAAACTAATAATAATAAAAAATATTTTTCAAAAAGCTAATCCCCAGTCACTTAGTCACTAGTAGGTAATATTTTCATGAATGTGTGCAAAGTTGCAAGAAAAACAAATACATAAACTCTGAGGATAGTAGAAAGAACTGGAATCAGAAAAGCTAAATTTCTGTTGCCCCATGGAGTATCTATCCTCCAAGGTCAAGGGAACATGTGCAGGTAGGTAAGTCTAGGTGGCCCTGGCATATTAATACCATCAAATACCAGTAAATGACCTTTAAACCTTTCCAAGATAATTTTCAAAAGATTATAAGACAAGACACCCTCATACAGCTAAGCCAGTGACAAATGCTTCAATCTTCTCACGAATAAAGGAAGAAGCCAGTAAGAAGCTAAAACTTGACATGATGGGGCATGCCTTTAATCCCAACACTCAGGAAGCAGAAACAGGAGACCTCTGTGAGTCTGAGGCCAGCCTGATCTACATAGTGAGTTCCTGGACAGCCAGGGCTATGCAGAGAAACCCTGTCTCGAGAAAAAAAAAAAAAAAAGAAAAAACAAACAAACAAACAAAAACCCAAACAAAAGTTAAAACTGGCTCTGACTCCATATAAGAAACCAAGGAATTGGGATGACGTTAATACAAGATTGCTGGTCGTGTATAAACCTAGCTAACATCCAGTAGGAACCCAAACTGCATCAAATGGGTCATTCCCACACTACAGAAATTGTTTCTTTACAGATAAAAACCTCCAAAGTGGGGCAGGAGAGATGGATTTTTTTTTTATTCTGAGCACCCACACACTGGCTTGTAACCATCTCCAACTCCAGTTCCAGGGTATTCAACACCTTCTTCCAGCCTCCGATAGCACCAACCATATGTGTGTTACACAGATATACATGCAGGCAAAACACCCACACATGTAAAATTTTTGAAAAATTTAAAGCCTCTGGGCCGGGCGGTGGTGGTACACACCTGTAATCCCAGTACCCAGGAGGCAGAGCCAGGCAGATCTCTGTGAGTTCGAGACCAGCCTGGTCTACAGAGCGAGATCCAGGACAGGCACCAAAACTACACAGAGAAACTCTGTCTCGAAAAAACAAAAACAACAAAAGAAAGCATAAAATTAAAGCCTCTGAAGTAACCTGTCATTCCACTCAGTCTGTGACCTTCACAAATAGGGAGTGTTGAATCAGATTCTGTCTCTCCAGATCATCCTCTGGGGGCCTTTGTCCCATATGACGCTGAAAGAACATGTCACCATGACCTGCTAAGACTTCAGGGAAAGCATGGCTGAGGTTGAGGAAATCACCCTGGTAATTAATCCCCCTTCTTTCAACAGCTGAGGGATAAACGAATGCAGGTGTCCCGATGTGTTGGTGACAACGCTTGTCTTACATCACCCCTGCTTATGAGACGGGGCAGGGGATCCAGAGTCCCCTCAGGAAAAGAAGTGGCAAGCTGGAGATCTGCACGACAAAGGTTGAGGTTTTAATATGCTTGATCTTTATAAACATAAACGCCTGGGCTTTTAAGGAAAATAGCAGTGGATGGTTTTAACGGTGCCGCTGGAGGTTTTTCCAAGTGTGTAACTCTGAAATTATCTTTGGAATGTCAGTTAGCCTCCTGTACGGATAAGATTGTATTGCAATACTTTTTAACACTTTAAATTCTGTTCTTAACGCAGAGTGTTCATATATTCTTGTACCATTGAGAGATGATATATAGATATACAGAGAGATGGTAGATAGATGATACATACATACATACGTATGTACATAAGATAGATGCTTTGTCAGGTAATATCATTTACTATTTATATATCTAGTTGAGGCAAGGAATCTACTCTTATCCCTTAAAAGATTGTCTGTGTGAAAAATAAAATATTTATAAATCTGATAGTTTGAGAAAATTGCTGCACAAACTCTGGCTATTGTAACTCATAAGTATTCTTCTTAATCTTTTTTGTGGCAAGTCTCAAATTATCTGCCTCATGATAGTCTCAAAAGTTTGCCTTCTTACTAATAAAATTCCCAATGGTAGTCATAACTTCTTACATTAAAAAAAATAATTTATTTATCTTTATTTTATGTTCTTTGGTGTTTTACCTGCATGTGTGTATGTGTGAGGGTGTCAGATTCCCTGGAACTGAAGTTACAGATAGTTGTGAGCTGCCATGTGGGGGCT